CTGAAAGGCTTTTGGTCTCACCCAGCGTCTGCAGCCCACCTGGGCCCGCAGCTGCGTTGAGGGCGACTTTAGTGCCGGAGCTGTAGCGCCCCCTTACGTCTCGCTACGCGTCCACAGACATCAGTCCAATGGTGCCGGATGCTGTAAGGCTAACAGGAGGAGAGGTCCCCCCAGACCACTTTAGGCCGGAGCCGGGTAACATTCCAGATCAACTAAAATAAAACAGTACCCGACAGAGACACGATTACATTTCTAAATAAAGGAATTTTTTTAAGCGAATTTTTTTATTTGCATAGCTGCGGGAACTTCGTGCTTCATCATAAATAAGACCCAAGTTGGGATAGCGGTGACTCAGATGATAAGGAAAAGGATGAAATAGAGGTGGAACACGCTGTCCTTCCCAGAGTTGTGCTGGCCAGCTGCTTTTGTTTCCCAAACCCCACTCCAAGTCTTCAAACAAGTTGTTTTTGAAGGCCTTCTCTGATCACCCTATAGCAGTGATGGCAAACCTTGGTGCCGTGTCACATATAGAAATTTTTTGATATTTGCAACTATAGTAAAAAACAAAGACATATTTTTGGTATTTATTTTATATATTTAAATGCCATTTAACAAAGAAAAATCAACCAAAAAAATGAGTTCCGTGTCACCTCTGACACGCGTGTCATAGGTTTGCCATAACTGCCCTAAAGTAAGGGGAGTATCTCCTTGCTCTGTTTTTACTTGCTCATTGGTCTCCACCCTTAAAAATAAACTTTTGGAGGGCAGGGGCTTTGTTTTGTTATTTGTTATTTCTGCAGCACCTAGAATATCTGTTCAATTAATGAAATAACTTAAAAAGTGGAACTTACAAACATTTGTTATTTTGTATTAATTTAACAATTTCTGAGAGATTTAAAAATTAAAACCGGGAGGTTATGTTTTCTGATCATTCATATCTAAGATTTTTCTCCATGTTTAATGGGAATATTAATAATAATACCTCATGGATTATTTTGAGGATTGTGCCTGCACATTAAGTGCTATTTGTGTTAGCCATTCCTACTCATTATTTAATGTCTACCATGAATAAAGCTCTTGGAAATTAACATCAGAAAGAAAAACACCAGTAGGCAAAAGTTGGGACTTAAATGAAGATGTTTTACAGGTCACCTGGAAATAGGCCTTCAAATTATACCTCTGCAGGTATTTAATTTTTATGGTAAAATGCCGCCTTTGCTCATTTAAAATAGACATATGTATTTTTCATTTACTCCACAGAATACTTCTTTATTTTGAAATATCTTATCCAGCTTCCATCAAAACTGAGGTCGAGACAACAGCTCAAAGAGGTAGGGTGACGCACCATTAGACAGCTTCTTGTGGTTCTATGCTGAATCAAAGTTATCAAATGCAATTCCATTATTTCAGCTCCATGCAGAAATGCTTTCACAGAAGTGTAATGTGCTTGTGCCTTGGCTTAAATAAAGATTTTTATACAAGAAATGGCCATCTATATTTTTTTCTGCATGTTTTATAAAACTGATTCATTATCATTGTTCAATATCTAAGGGGGGATATGCTAATTGACCCTCATGCCATCGCAAAAGATGGCAGTGCCCACAGCCAATAAGGAGGGAATATGCTAATTGACTGCCCCACCCTCAAAGATGGCAGCGCCCACAGCCACAAGATGGCAGCACCCAGTCCCCTCAGTCCCATTGTTCAATATCTCTAATAGATCCATGCTTTACTATTTAAGTTCAGGGCTAGAAAGAGTTTTGTCTCTCCTGACACATTCATATATATATACATTTGAGAGTGAACTCATCACACTCAGGCTTTACCTGACTCCCAGGAAACGTGGAACTAAATTTAATAGTCAATTATAGCAACTATTGCTTTTTAAAATTATAATTACTGCCATGACACCGGAATAAGACATTCTTTTATCACTAGATTAATAATTTGATTACCTCAATTTTAGCCAAGATCTATGTGTCTTGGTTAAAACCTACTCAAATACTTTGGAAGTTAGCAATTCATGCAGAGGTATGTCATGGAAATGTGTATTCATGCTATCTTGACCATATTTTGGTTCAATCTTAGTTCCCAAGTCCATTTAAAAAATGGGAAGGCAATGCAAAATGAAATGAGTCTGCCCCCACGCGCACTGCCATCTGTGAAGACTTCTTTACCTGAGGTCTGTTGGAATAGAAGAAGAAAGCTAGACCAAACTGGCAAAATAACCGATAAAATAGTCATCTTCAGAATTCATTCTTATTTACCAGAGAAGCTTATTTCAAGTTCTCTCTGAATAATGGCACCTCACACTGCTGTTTACAAAGCACATTACACTGATTTCAACAATTTGGTTTACAAGTGAGAGATTTGAGGCTAAGAATAGTGTGCAGACTCCTTAAGGTGATATATATATATATATATATATATTACAGAGAGGAAGGGAGAGAGATAGAGAGTTAGAAACATCGATGAGAGAGAAACATCGATCA